CTGTTGGTGTCAGTGGTTCTGGTGAGCGCTGGGCTTTCACTTTGAACACATCCCACTTCTCAGGAATCTTGCCTTTGTTGAAGAGCATAACAGCCAGGTAGGAGAACGACAAGTTGGCAGCAAAGGCAGACAGCATGGCGATGGTCTTAATCGGAGAGTACTGGACATAAACACCATCCTCAAGGGTGCATCCTGGGAAATGGAGGACTACAGGCAGCTCTAATGATGGCTCTCCACTTAGCAGTCTTAACACCAACCCCGTCAGCCAGCCCATTACAGCCCCATAGCCGTTGGAGATGTTGAAGAAGAGGACGCAGACGAGTTGAGGGAAGATAAAGATGTAGGCCACTTCTGTGCCAAGAAACCACAACATTATGATGCTGTTTTTCAGGTTGGAGAGGGATGTAGCACCCAAGCCAACTATCACCACAGCCACACAGATCACCCACTGGATTTCTCTGTCTGATGCCTGAAGAAAAAAATCGTGTTCTCACCCGCAACACTAGAAAATCATTTGAGAACAAAAGAATAAGATGAATTCACCTCCATTTAGTCTCAGAAGCAGGTATGTCTAAATCTAACCGAAAGCCAAAATAGCTCGACATCAGTAAACCACTTCATGTCTTCTACACTGCAATGAACCGAGACTTAATCCATTTTGTTCTAATCTCAATCTCTAATATTTAATTTACGTTCATTGTCATCCTATTTGGTTTACACTTTCCTTAAGTTTCTCTTTACACATTGAAGAAACCAAACCTGTTTCCTCAGGATGTTCAAAATGTAGAGGAATTTGGAGCAGATTATTTCATGTTTAGGGAATCTATACAATTCTCTGTCAGTCACAATCACAATCATAGGTACTTATTTTTTGACGAATTCTGTGCTTTCTTGTCCCTGATGCTTGGCCATTGCTCTATTAGACAATTTACATTTCCTTTTCTTCACTGAAGTTTCTTGTACGTCTTAAAATGAAGAAGACCTTGCAACCCCCATGAAGTTTTGGCGGCCCCTAGTGAGGGTCCCAACCCCCAGGTCACTGGATTATGTCAGATCAGGGCTATCTGATGTCACAGAATATAAGCATACAAGTGTCCTATTCATTTGCTGTCATCCTTCTTTGTCTGCAGTTTTTGTTCAGACGGTGGGTTTATTAGATGGTTGTTTTTGTTGTTATATGGCTGTCTATGGTAGTTAATTAGACTCAACTACTGTATATACTAACCGTACAGGCCTGTATAACCAAATACAATTAGATAAATCTATATATTAAGTAGATGATTTGATAAGGCAATGCCCTATGGCCGTGTTTACTTCCTGCACCATAGTGGTGAAAGTGAATGCAATGTTTTCATTTAGGTTTTTTAAAGCTCATTGCAATATGTAGGAAATCCTAATACCTGTAGATGCTGACTCTGCCCCAATCAATATGGAGGGTATTCCGAATACGACGGTACAAAAAGCTGCTGTTTCCGCTTTTGTTGGCCAGTGTCCAGGGGGGTCCCATTGCCTTCCTCGGCTCTTGGGTTTCCCCCTGTGTCTTTTTTTTTCGGGCTTCTTGGGTTTTTTTTGTGTTTTTGGGTTTTTTTTTTTTTTTTTTTTTTTTTTTGGTTTTTTTTGTTTTATTATTTTTTTTTTTTTTTTTTTTTTTTTTTTTTTTTTTTTTTTTTTTTTTTTGTTTTTTTTTTTTTTTTTTATTTATATTGTTTTTTTTTTTTTTTTTTTTTTTTTTTCAAGAAAAATAAAAAAACAATTTTTTAAAATTTTCTTTCAAACTGTCTATAGGAGATCATTATATTTTAACTATATTTACAATGTGCATTTGATACATGGGATCTTAAGTTTTTGCTATCATTTTATAGAAGCATTTTTAAGGGCATTTTGCATGTTAATCTACGCATTTGAAGCTTTTATTGCGTAACATTTTATAACACTAAAGAGCTGAACATTTTATGAATTTTAGGATGCTGTAGAAGAGAATGGATTCAGGTGACCTTAGTGGTCACAAGGTTAACATGAAAGAGCCACAGTTTGGTAGTTGGTTTATTTAGTAAAAGGACTGAGTTAGTTTTAGTGGGAGATCATGGTTTAGCTTCAAATATGTATGTTAGTTACGTTTGTGAACTTATAATGAGTCTAGAACTTCTGACCCCTTCAGTCAAGTGGATGTAACAAAGAAGTTGTCGTAAATTTTTTTTGTTTTATTTTTTTTTTTTTTTTTTTTTTTTTAATTTTTTTACATGTACTAAACTTTTGTGTAATTAATTATATTTACTATTAATATCTTGTTGATTCTGTATGGTCCGTCTACGGTATAATTTTGTAAGTCGAGTGTAAAGACGTTGCTTTTTATGGTACTTCCACATTTTTGATTTTATGCCATGTCTAAAACCATGACGATGGCAAAAATTAAGTGTACACCATTTTAATCAAAAAAAAATTTTTTTATTTTTATTTTTTTTTTTTTTATTATAATAAAAATTTTTTTTTTTTTACCCCCCCAGGTTTTTTTTTTTTATAAAATAAAAATTTTTTTTTTTTTTTTTTTTAAAAAATTTTAAATTTTAAATTTTTTTTTTTTTAACCTTTCATAAAACCCCTTTTTTTTTTTTTTTTTTTTTTTTTTTTTTTTTTTTTTAAAAAAAAAAAAATATTGGGTTTATAAGAAAAAAAAAAAAAAAAAAAAAAAATTGATCTCAACCCAAGAGCTGCAACAAAATATAAACTAAGATAAAAAAATTTTTTTTTTTTTTTTAAAAAAAAAAACCAAAAAAAAAAAAAACTTATATAAAATATGGTTCTTTGCACTTACATTTACTTTTTTTTATTTAACTTATGGTTTGATTATTATTATTTTAGGAACTGATTTGTCAAAGATGCCTATTCATGATTATTGATAATGCATTGCAGAATGCTCCAGTGTAGTTCAGGATTGTGCATATTATGGTTTTGCATGTCATGAGCATGTAAACACAAGCCGAAGTGTTTATAATCTGTAGAAACTGAAGGGAAACTTCAGATTTTACATTTGTTGTGGCTGTGTTAGGACCACCTTAAGCAATCAAATGCTTTAGTGTTAACCACATTGCAATGTGCTGTCAGGTAATTCCTTCCCCCGTGCAGAGGTACTGTATAATGCTGGTAATTTATTGAATCTGTCAACAAGGCAAAGTAAATGCTTGGAAGAAATACACTGAAATTAGGCATTAATACTTGAAAATGTAAATAAAGTATTTTAATTACATACTCTACAAACAGTAGATGTGTTTAAATCTGCATTAAAAAAATATCCCTTCATGTGACTGGAAAGCCATTAAATCAGGCTGTTCTGATCTATAAATTAATGGATGATTCTTACAATATCTGTTGTTCATAGCTGCATAATACGATATTAAAAGCTTCTCTTCAGTTCATTAACTCCCTGCAGCCATCTGAGTGCAGTGATGATGTAGCTGTGAAATGTTGTGACCACGGACGTAATTTGGGGGGGTCACACAGGGGACATCTCCCCTGCACTTTTTCAAAAGCCTGTTTTGGTCCCCTGCAGTTTTTACCGTCCAAAAACAATGTTACGCTACAGTAAACAGGGACACATCAAGCACTAGGACCAGGCGGAAAACAGCCACTCAAGCAGAAGTCTGTTTCCCTTAGTTTAGACCGCCCCACAAGCTCCTCGATTGGCTCTACCGTTTCTTGTGTGATTGACCGTCCCCGCTGTCACTCCATCTTGCTTGCACACCGGTCTGCTAGTTGCCCAGGAGTCCTTATTAATCTGCCACTGTAAATTGGGCGTTTGTTCTACCTGGGTCACGTCAGCTAGAAGGATTGTAATATCAGAGGTTTCATTTCATTTCATTTTCATTAACGTTTGAATCGGTGTCCATGTGCGTATGTGTGTGAAGTTGACGAACAAGGTGAAACACAGAATTGGGTGATAATGTTTTGCTACATGCTTTACAACCAGTCAAACCAAAAAAGGGAACAGTAAACTTAGAACTACTAGAAAACACAGTGAACTGAAAGAGTTAGAGTTTTATTTAAAATACTTGTGCCCCTGGGTTAAGTGACGGTTTGAAATCCTGGCCAATGTCATGTCAAGACTGGGTTAAGTGATGGCTTGACACGAACATTGCAGGGAAGAAGGGGGAGTTACAGAATCTTGATTTCTATTTGATCAGCACTGTCTAGGTTGACAGTTTGATCTGAGTTTCGTATCTTACTCTCACTAAGAATGACTGGTCAATCACAAGGTAGCCCAATCACAGTGAGAACACAACCTCTGTTGGTAGCTATGTTTGTCTGTGTGTTTCTTTCAGTGGCCAAGCTGTGTTCACTGAGTCTGTAGATCAGTGCTCTCTCAGTAAAACAGTGGTGCCAGAATGAGTTTTAAAGTGGCTTGGGGACATCCCACTTTTGATGATGTAATATGCTCGTGAACTTTTTCATGTCAGCTTCCTTTCAATCTCAGCCTAGCCTTTTGTGTTTCTACTGCCAAAGTATGGTAAGAAATCAGTGGAGTCAGGAAAGTGTAGCTAGGAAAGCCATCCTGCCCTCTAGTTTGTGGTTGTACAGTTTCATGAGGCTGTTATTATCCTAGAGGTCACAATAGCTCATTTTATACAAAGAATGGTTTCACTATAATGAAATGGCTACTATGGAGACGAACATCATCACACGTGAATACCATTGGACTTATTGACTCCACAGGAGTATGACTGGAAAGCTGACTCCAGTTACACCTACTTTATGCAATTCCAATATTGTTTGGATCTCCCAGGATGCAGAAATATTCAAAACACTAGGAAAAATATTATTTATATTTCTAAATGTATACTGCATACAAAAAAACATGACAAGGTTTGTACCAATGAGCCCACTACAGCCTCTGACAGACATTAATGTCTGATGTATTCGTCTGCGCAGAGTTGAGGTTACCATTACACCTGAAGGTAGGAGGACAAAAAGCCTCCCATTTTGGCACCAGTGTAATGAAAGAGAGCTTCAATTCAAAATCAGTTTTATTTAATCAATCCATAAATAGAAGTCAAAATGTACATACATCTTTAACAATAAAAAATAAATCTGATTATCATTCATATATCAAGACCTGTTTTATCCGCATACAAACTTGTCAAACATCCTCTGAACCAACAATAACTTTTCAGCTTCTCCCCTCTCACACTCCTTTATGTGTGTTTAAGCCCAACTAGAACTCTGTAGAGAAAAGGAACCACATTCCCCAAAATATATTCACTGCAACAAAAGGGAACAGCAGCTGGGATATCGGGGTCATACTGTGGCAGAGCTTAGGCAATTTATAGCTCTTTTTGCTCTTTGTCTTTGATGAGGTGACTTTTGATAAGTTGTTTGGGACCCGGGGATGCGTTGCTCCACTAAAAATTTCAATATGCAGTGATTTATAAACAGATTTTGACTTTACGCCTTCTCCTGATGAGGCATAAGATTTATGCCCAGTCTCAGCAAGCAGAAGGCCTAAGCTGAGATGGTGCAACCAGCGTAACTATTAGGTCAGACTTAAGACCCAGTTACGACTGACTTAGACTAATACACTGCAGGAAAAGACTGATTTTTGGCCCTGTAAATACCTAAAAAAAACATCACTAAATCCCGGCAGTTAATGGCTGCTTATAGCCTGTGAAGTCTGCGTTCGCTTATGCCAGAAATTGTCGAGAACTTGCTTGTTGGTGCAACCGACCCCAAATGCTCAAATTAAGCTTCAGTATAGGAACTGGGAAAATCCGAACAAGACTGCTTGCTCAGCTGTAAAAGCATGTCGCTGCTAATGTAGAAACTTAAAAAAAACATGGCAGAATAAGTGTAAATCTACAGATCACCACCATCATTAGAAGAAATGCAAGTGAAGAGATTCTTCTCAACCTGATCCAAAAACCTACTTAGTCGTGTCTCATTTCTCAGTCTTAAAATGCATAAGACCAAATAACTCATCTGAATGTTTAAGTATAACAACACAAACCATCTACCTGCAAGAGGAGGCTAACTTTTCACACTGAGCTGGAGAAATTTTACACAAATAAATAACTTTAGGTTCACAGTGGAATTGATCAACAGACTGTTCATCCACTGGGACTGAGAGGAACGTGTGAACCAGGTAATGTACATATGTAAAAAACCAGCAAAGCAAAAAAAAAGCAGCATCTCCTAGTTGTTTCCATTAGTTAGTCATTGATAATAATACAGTTGATATAATTGGTTAAAATCTGACCATAAAAAAAACATTAAACCAACTATAGTATAAGTCTAGACACTCACTCAGTTATTAAGTGTATGGTATTGAAAAAAAAACAATCAAACCCGACAAATCAATCGCTGACACTTGTCATAAATCAATAAATACATCATCTTCTCTATGCAGTATCGCTGACTTCAACTCAGCTTAAAGTAAAAATTAAGAAATAGACAATCTTCATGTTGTCAGCCGAGACATTGTCCAGCAATATTTGGCGATCAATGAATCTATCAGTGCTAATAATCCCATTTATTAACAACATCCTGATTAGATTTCACATTGTTGATCAAAAGCTCCCTGAAGTCCATGCCTTCTCTCATGTGACTACACACAAGATGTGTGTATTATTAACGTTTCATATGAGAAAATGTAACCTTGCCAAAAGCGTGGAAGGATGCCATTTCAAATCCCTGAACAGGTAAGGCGAGGTGCAGTCAGGTAAGGACAGGTAATGATAAATGCTTTTTCTACCAAATTAGCTCTTGTCAAACTGGTTCTGTTAAGATTCTTTGAACCTTGGTTCTATCTAGCGATCCAGCCTGTGTTTCCACCAGTTGTGTGGAACTGCAATCGGATGGATCATCAACAGAGGGGCTCTGCACAATGCACAACAACCTCTAGAATATGACACTTCGGTTCCAAAGGAAAACCAGCTATTTTTTGGTTCCAGTTGGGAACAAACTTTTCAGGTTCCGAACCAATTTATTTTTGGTCTAAATGTTCTGAAAATGATGTGCAGGAACCGAGACAGAGCCGGTTCCTATAGGTTGAAAAAGGCCTATGAGTTAAGTTACCTTCATCTGCACCCTGAGCCATCTTTAGATTATTAAAAGTTATTTTCCTGAGGGGTTCAATAAGCCTCTCTGCATAAAAAGACATGAAAAAAGACTTCATGAACCGCAGTATAGAAAAGACTAGAATGGGCAAGAAAAATGCAAGATTTTTCCCATTTCTATTATTTTGTTTTCCTGACAATCCAGCAGATCCTGTGACTGAATCTCTTGTTGAATTTCTGCTTTTACTGGAATGTGTTGGGTTCTACTGGTTGGGCTTGTCCTGGCTGAAGTTAAACAGGAGGCTCTTGGCTCCATTCTGCCATGAATACAGCGTCTCCATGGGAGTTTTTCCATCCTGCACAGGAGATACAAACACACAAGATTGCAAATCAGTGCTGGAGGAATGAAGCTTGTGTTCTTTAGATTCCCCCTGTTGATAAGTACGGAACAACATGGTAGTTTTTTTTAGCTCCAGTAATACTCCTTTACTTATAATGCCTATAATACTCTTTACTTTTGAATCTTTATAATGTGGTATTGCTACTTTTACTACTAGTCCACTAAAAACATGTTTTTCTTCTTGTCCCTACAGTTGGATGTTTGAAGCTCTGCAGAGTTATGTATGTGCTGATGTGGTGTTCAGTACTTACACAGTTCTTGGTGTTGAGACTGGCCCCGTACATCATCAACAGCTTGATCATCTTGAATCTGTTTATTCTCACAGCATCGTGCATGGGCGTGTCTCCGTCCTTCAGTTGGGGAGAAAAAAGGCGTTCAGCACAGGTGATCCTTTTCCAATCTGAATGAAGAGTTTCTTTCATCAGCATCTCACAGAGTGTGCGAAAACAACCAATCAGAGCCAAGAAAGATAGTTATCTTCAAGCCACCAACTCAAAGTGTCTTTACATTTTTTTTGGCTCTGATTGGTTGTTTTTGTTAGTGCCAGGAGGATTCTTACAAATTTTATTATGTGCACTAGGAAGAGCCAGATTTTTTCCGTGAGTAGTTTCCGCAAATATGACAAAAAGTTACCTACTGCATCCCTGAAACTACATCTCATAAAATATGGATCCCCTGCCTGATGTGTATCAATTTGGGTGTCCTTTACCTATTTATTTATTTAAATTACCTACTGCAGCTTTATGATTAAAGGCTGGGAACCACTGGTCTAGGTCCTTACTCTGTCTTTGGCGTTGACGTCTGCTCCACAGTGAATGAGATGCTCAGCACACTCACAATGTCCTGTCCTCACAGCAACATGGAGAGGAGTGCTCTGCAGCTGAGGAGAGGAGAGGAGTTTCAGCAATTACAAAAAAAAACAATCTGTATCAAAGACTTATGTGTTTCCTTGGGCCTGGCTGTCTGTTAACAACTGGTGTCTTCTTTAATACCACCACCAGATGGTGCCAAAGTAAGGAATTTTCATAACCACGAGAGGGATTAAGGACTCTGTGTACCAACCTTGTCTCTGTAGGTGAACTTGGCTCCCTGGTCGAGTAGGAGCTGCAGGGCGGGCAGACTGCCTCCTCTGCAGGCCCAGTGAACTGCCGTGGCCTCCAGCTGAAACACACTCCAAACTGTTAGACCAACCCTCTGTGTGTGTGTGTGTGTGTGTGTGTGTGTGTGTGTGTGTGTGTGTGTGTGTGTGTGTGTGTGTGTGTTTATGAGAGAATGAAAGAATGAATTGTAGTGTAGGGCTTATAAATCTCTCACCTTGTCTTTCTTCTCGATGGCAGCTCCGGCCTCCAGGAGTCTTTTCATGACCTCCACATGTCCTTTGAATGAGGCTTTGTGAAGAGCTGTTCTCTGGAACTGAAACCCAATTTGAAAAGTTAACATAATATACTATTATTATTATTATTATTATTATTATTATTATTATTATTATTATTAGCCTCAGCTCCTCAAGTAGTTTTCATTAAGGAATGATAATTTGTCAGGTGTAAACATTTCTTTTATTAGCATATTTTAATGATATCTATTGCCATGATTCTACCCGCAGAGGCAGATGTTGCTGTGTGACACTCACGTGGTCAGATGCATTTGGGTTTCCTCCATCACTCAGGTACTTCTCCACCACGGGCAGTTTGTTCTCCATAGCTGCTGTCAGAAACAGCTGCTCATCCACAGTCTCTGGCTGAAAGGTATATGCAAAACAACTTACATAAGAACTCTAGGTAAAGGAAGAGTGTACCTGCTTATGTTAATATGACCAACAAACACACAGAGCAGAGATCTCAGCAGGGAGTTGCAGTCAAGTACACACTGGACGTTAAAAACAGCAAAATGAAGAATAGAATCTCACCACGGTTTCAGGCTGTGGCTGCTGTTTCTTGTGGATGGGAATCTTCCTCTCCCTTCTCCTCTTCCTCAGCTGCAAGATGTTGAACAGGTCATCCACCGTCTCCAGTTTCAGCCTGCCGCTGTTATCCGTCTGACATGGCAGTGACAAGACAGAGGGCTTCAGCACAACAACAATAACAACAACAACAACAACAAGGAACAATAAACAAGAAAAGATATGTATATATATATATATATATATATATATATATATATATATATATATATATACATATATATATATATATATATATATATATATATATATATATATACATGTATTGTATTTGCTTTGCAAGTAACATAATGCCAATCATACGACGGAGTATTAGTATGGCCCTAATACCCTAATACGTCGTATAATCAAAATAATGGCGTTCAGTAAAAAATACAATCATTACCCCTGAAACTAAATAAATTGTAAGTAGAGAGTCTTACAAAATGTTAAGCACCACAGCCTCACAACTGTACTCAAAATAGTATCTGAGTATTAGTATTAAAGGAAATGTTTTTACATACAGAAAAAACTCAAAATTAGATTGATTAGTTAAGATTTATTTATCTCTAATGAACTTTCAATGCAATGATATCAGCACCATCATTATGAGGTTAAGAGTTTATTCCTGAGTGGATTTATATCGAGAAAGTGTTATTCTCCCAAAGGCCGTCAGGTGGCAGCATGTGTCAAGAGACAAACTCAGGAGGCAAACTCAGGAGGCAACAACCGACTTTCAAAGACTGTCATCAACCTTCTCCTAGATCCTGCAGCAGATTTGGATATCTCATTTAAAGTAATTCATTATTTCTCCCATATTTTCTGTACCTTCAATAAAAGGCAAGAGCTAATAAATAATCTAATTATACATTAAACTACCTTTGGAGTTCTGTGGACAGATGTTCAAACTCTTTGTAGTAGTAAACTACTACTTTACTGTACTTTCTTACTGCTTGCATCAATACTACTAACAATACAATGACTACTGCCTCTGACAATACTACTGTGATTAGTATTGCTAATACTGCTCTTAATGTATTACTATCCATTGTTACTAATACCACCACGCCTCCATAATACTCCTACTATTATATGTACAACTACATCGCTCATTAACACGACCACTGTTATCATTACTAATACTACTAATACCACTTTTACCAAACATAGCTGAGGTTAAATTAGGCACAATTAAATTAGGAAATATCCCCTAAAATAGGATTTTTTTTAATCATACAGTGATTAAGTCTAAAAGACTTTAGGTGAATAGTCCATTCCATTCACTATATGACAACTTAAGTTAGTGTTTCTCAAATGAGGGTACGTGTGCCCCTAGGGGTACTTTGGAGTACAGCAGGGAGATTTAAAAAAAAAGAAGGTTAACTTTAAAAATATCAGTCACGCATAATTCCTAAGTTCACAAAAATGTGGTTTTATAAACCACATTTTATATTCAGTAGTCCCTATTTTCATTGCAACCGTTAACTGCAGTAAAAGCTGCCTCCCCCACTAGTTTGTCAATGAGTTGGATCTATGAGGTGGCTCCTTAAGGTGAAATATCTTTTTTATAAATTAGGTTGTTATAAGACAGAATAAGAGCATGATCCCTGTAGAATACCTTAAACAGAAACGCCTCACTTTGGTCATAAGATTAAGACCCCAGACTTTTGTATGTTGCGCTGGTTACCAACACCCAAAACATAATTCAGTACCAATAAAATGTTTAACACACGTATAATAGTTTTAGTATTTATACCAATCCTAATATACATTTATAGTTCAAAACATTGCAAAATTTTGGCTGAATTATAAAAGCCAGAAGTAGTACTAAATGAAGAGCTGTTTGGGAGCTGAATGAGCCAGCTCTAACTGCTGATCTCAGCCAAGTGATCCACACCTCTGTTCTCCACTGGATTTATCTGACAGCCATTACTTTACAGATTAAGATTGTGGTCGGTTTATAAAATATGATGCATTGTTAAAGATTAAATATGCAATGCAAATTGCCAAGACCTTGCAGTGGATTTAGGCTAGCTGATAACACTTTATAGTGCAGACCTTTTACTAATAATGGATAATGGAGTGTATTTACTGGTATATTGTGGCACTGCTACTTTTACTTGTAAGTAAGGGATTTGAATAATTCTTCTACTATTGCTAATATTTCTACTGGTAATATCATTACTACTTTACTGTTGCTGTTTATGATATTATTACTGCTAATGTAACAAAATATGTACGTTCATATTAGTTTGTATGGACCTCAATAACTTCTACCAATCATTGCACTGCTGACACCTGCTGTTGTTATCTGTGTATTCTTACATTGAGAGCTGCCACGCTGACTTCTTCCTGTTCACTGCCACTGTCGCTCTCCTCTGATGGATCTCCGCCCACCAGCTCCCTGTGGGACCTGCGGTCATCCTGCTTCTCTTGATTGACAGCCGCCTCGTACACGCCCCCTTGGAAGTCATCCGGCTCTTTGCTCTCTGACCTCTTACTGGACACCTGAAAATGAGATGAGATGATGCTGTAAACCTTCACACCAACACACAGGAGAACTATATGAACCCTGAGTTAAAGGACCAGTGTGTAACATTTAGGAGGACCTATTGGAAGAAATGGAATATAATATTCATAGGTATGTTTTCATTAGGAATCATTTTTGTTACCTTAGTATGAACCATTTTTAAACTACAGACTCTGGTCAGTAGACCTCTATGAAGACGCCATGATAAACCCCCATGTTTCTACAGCCCGATTAAATTCAGTTTAATTTAGTTCCATCCTATTCAATTCAGAAAAATTTTATTTGTATAGTGCCAAATCATACTAGAAGTTATTTAAAGACTTTTCAAATAGAGCAGGTCTAGACTCTACTCCTTAACAATACAAAATAATAATTGTAATAAAAATAATTAATAATATAATTAAAGCCCACAACGTGGCCACCGTAGTTGGTTCTCCTTCATGTTTGTAAGGGCAGGGTGAAATAGTTGAGTTGCAATCTGTAGTTACCCCTGCTAGATGCCACTAAATCCTACACACTGGACCTTAAACATGTATCACACACTGGGGTGTTTTTACGAAACGTTTAGTGAGCTCAAACACATACAGCAAGACTGTAACACTAAACATTGACAAGAAAAAGCAAAGATAATGAGAGAATGAGTCTGGCTAAAAAGGCTGATCTCAGCTCAGCGGGAGTGCTTTTATTTGTATTGGTGCAGAGTTGAACACATGAGCAGCTCTCAGCATTTGGCCGCTGTAGAGCCAAACCCTGCTGCTGATGGAGGAATGTAAACACAGCTCAGCCTCAACACATTAACACACACTTCAGCTCTTTATTACAACTGTTTATATGCTATTGAATCACTCAAGTAATCGTTAACACTGCGTATAGTCTTCATCAGGGCTTCCCAAACTGTTTCACGTCGAGGATCTCCACAATAGATGCACATTATGTTAATGATCAAACTGGGATCACTATAAATTACAATCAGTTAAAACCGCCATCCCTATTTCTTTCCTTGTTGAAAAATGTGATAAAACTTATTAAATATTCTGTTCCTCCTTTTGCTGGAGACTTCCTACAACGCACTCAAGAACCCCTGTTGGTCTCCAAGATCCCAGTTTGAACACCACTGGACTATAAATCATTCTTACAAACATTTAATCACTAGGGAAGATAAACCTCCCAATTGAGATATTATGTAAAAAGTATCAAGGTGAAGTGTGCAGTAACAACAATACTAGCCAATGATCCTTAGTAATCAGTTTGCTATTTAATTACCTTAATGTTTAATCCCCTAATTTAACTTACCGGTGCATGATTAAGATGGAAATGGAAAAACTATTAAGAAATCTGTCCAAGAAATTCTCCACAGTCGACTTATTTAAAGCTTGATTGGTCAGAGCATCACTACTATACATTGTTTTACTATTTTAACATAAGCTTAGTTAAATAAAGGTTTTCTTTGTTTAATAAAATTTGAGGATGGTTTAAACCAGAGAAAAATAATCTTTTTGTATAAAAAAATTTTTTTTATCCCTAAGAAAATCAATTCTCTAGTTTCTCTTTCTAATAAAAGAACATTTCCACTCCATGTGATTTCTTACACATTTTATAGAATAAAATCCCGCAGCTCCTTTTTGGTAGATGTCATTTACAAACATCAGCAGATCTTACCAGTTCCTCAACGCTGTGAAGTCCCATTCTTCCCCTTGATGTGAAGTAGTTGGATCACTGTGGGTAACTGGAGTTAAGTCCACTAGTCTTCTGCTGTGATGGTCAGTGTCTGTCTGTCTCTCCTGCCTGCAGCCTCTTATATAGCCCTGTCAAACCTTAACTCAGATCACATTACTGCCTTCATGTGCTCATTTGGCATGCTCAGTTGTACCAACATCACCCCACCCCTTCCCCATATCCACACCCAGCCCCTCCCACTATGAGTTCTGCCCAGTTTGGGCTTCTGCTGGCTTCTCTTTGTCACGACGCAAAGATGGAGGTGAGGTAAGAGGTGTCACTTTGCCTCACACTCTATGGTGTGCACATTTATGGGCTGTGAGACAATGTGAAATAAACCAATTTCTTAGTTTTTAGAAATACAACTTAAACCCAAGACTGAACCTATACTGTGACATCTACCACTGGAGTACCGGTTTGAAGCCTTGAGTTTTCATTATTGCTGTTACCATCACCAGAATTGACCATATCTTCTACACCTCTGTCCTGATGGGATAGGTAGCCACGCCCTAAAGCATACTGTGTTTTATCATCTATTTACTCTAAAAGCGACCATAGTTAACAAAATGAACATCATGCTGTATGGAACAAGACTGAAACTGGAGACCATAAACTCATTTTCTCATTAACAAAATCATACGTCCACCTAAGCTTGAACTTGACAGGTTAGTTACAACACATTTGTCCCAAATCAACCATGTTGAACTGTCATGTTTTCTACAGGAGCCCAGAATGGACAAATCAAACACCGGCTGTAGACTGACTGCCAGTGTTTGTCTGGTGTTTATTGAGTGTTCAAAGCTGCTGTAGTTTCTCCTACAGATTTCATATCCCGTTCTCATTCCCAGATCAATCAAATACAGATACGAGCAGTTTTCAGTTAGTTGCAGTCTGAAACTTGACCATTAGATGCCACTTAATCCCACACACTGGTCCTTTAATGTTCTTTTTCTTTACTCTTTTTCAGCAAACACTGGAAAGCAGCATGAAGCCAAAATAAATTATTCATAACATTATGTCATTTTACATTAAAAAGAGAAAAAAAATATATAATTTTTTAAAGTTCATCAGTTGTAGAAGGAGACCACACGCATTAAGGTTAACGCCCTTTTTGGTAAAGCAGGTTTTTACAGAGTGATTCATCCTCTCAAACACAAACAGTCTTTGACAGCGTCATGCTGGGCATGTGGCCACAGTAATGCAGTGACATCACTGTGAGGAGACAGGTTCATGGTTGAGAAATAAATAGTCACACTTCCAAACATCTTGTCACTGCACTGCAGCCAATCACAGATCGAGGTTAAAGGTCAGCAGGATGACTGACGGTCTGACTGACAGCTGGCAGTGGATAACGTCATGTCAGGTGCTTTCTGTCCTGCTGGTAAATGTGGTCAAACTGCATATTACACATCTCAGAGCGGTGTACAGTACATACTCGGACAGTGATGACACCTGACGGAATGTGATGGTCACAAGCTGCGTGAGCTCACTGTCCACCAATCAGAAGCAAGAGAGTCAGGTGTAGAACTCAATACAAAGTTAGTTACAAAGTGATTTTGAAATTCAAAGATTTTTTCGACACCTCAGCTATGTTTAATACTTACCCTTCAACTTATAGTTGAACAAGCAAAAAAACAAAGTGTGATGTATAGCTGAAGCTCATGTAATGTCCTTAAGTATTTTTGCAACACATTGTCACTTCTAACTCTTAAAATACTGCCGCTTGGCCCTCTGCTTTAAAATATTCAGTTGTAGGTGCCCCTTAATATCATTTCTGAACCCACAACTAAAAACAGAACTTAAATTAAGTAAACTTTATAAAATATGAATCTCATGGTGGTGCTAGAGGAAAATCAGATGGTTACCAAAATCAATCCTCTGGGGACCATGACCACGGTAAATCATTAAATGGGTGTTGAGATATTTCAGCCAAAGTGGGGGCTGGCCAACCGACCAATTGGTATTGCCATATCTACTGCAAAGCCACAACGCAAAAATTTTTCCAGTCTTTTAAATCTTACAAACTGTGCTGTTAAAACACAATTTGCTCCAACTGCTTTTACTTCAGTGCTTGTACAATGTGTACACAACACTTCAGCTTTGCACTCATTTCATTCAGAATTTTCACTTCAGTGGACTTCAGCTCCTTTTGTTTGACAATTTCAACTCCTTTTAGTGCTTCCATCATTCTGACACTTATTTTCTAAATATACTGTTTATTGTTAGGGGACTTTTTGCCTTTATTTGACAGCTCAGGACGGACGAGAGAGAGAGAGAGAGAGAGAGAGAGAGAGAGAGAGAGAGAGAGGAGATGACGTACAGCAAAGGGCGACCCATGGCTGCCGCAACAAGGACTCAGCTTTGGTACATGGGACGCCAGCTCCACCAGGTGAGCTATCCTGGCTCTCTATATAGTCAACTGATTTTTACTGACTCTAATCAGTGCTTGTAGTTTCATCCAGCACTTCCATTTTCACTACCACTTCAGTGTCTGATGGTATTTTTAAAAAAAATTCTTTGACCAACCTCTTGTTATGTGCCTCTCATGTGTGCACGCACACACCTTCATTTGACACACCTTCCATAAACTCAGAACAAAATATGTTTTTTGGTTCTATAACACATTCTTACTGGCAACATGACATATAATATATATATATTATTATTATTATAATTAATATATATAATATATATTCGCTTTTATATCGAGAATAATTATGACTATTAATAAACAAACTTGATCATGTTTGACAAGATTCTGATAAAAGTTCTGATTAGCTGATGGTCTCCTCCAATCTCCATATGTAACTATTTTTAGTGTGAGAGCTGATGTAGCATAGAAAGTTCTGATAAGCTGGTAACAAAGCAGGTTAAGTAACATGTTCTCATTGAAGTCTTGAGACAGACTTAAACATACAAACAAAATAAGTGAACAATGATACAGATAATATGACAAAAGTAAAACTGCCAGTCAAGAAGAATAAAGGCCTATCTAGAGTTACAGAAAAATACAGACATTACAACAATCAGTGTATAATGATAGAAAAATAACAAAATTAACAGTAGTCTGCTTACTTTTGTTCTTTTAGACCTTCACATCAAAACCGAGCCGTCACTCAGATGTTTGCAGCCATGTTGTTCACGTTTGACCCCTGTATTCCTCTGGAAGTGAATTCATAGCCACAAGCTATTTTTGAACCTGACCTTGGGACTGAAATAGATGGTAAAAGGGGCAAATTGTTTTGGATGGGGACCTTCAGAGTTAGCGCACAGTACTTTTACATCAAGCTGTAGATGTGCTTGTCATAGCAGAATGAAGTTCAGTGTCTTGCTCAAGTGCACAACAGCACAAAAGGGCAGTGTCGAACCTCGACCTACAGGTATGACACAATTGAGCGAATAAAGAGCAGAAGAAAATGATGTTGTGAATCAGCAGATGCTGTTAAAGTTCAGGGGGCTTTCAGTAAAGAAACTCTTATATACGAGTACTTCGCAATAGCAAATACATTTTGAGAGAAATTTCACCTGAATTACATCTTTTAAACTGACATAATAAGGAAATCATTTTTAATGAACGTATCAATCAGCAAGTCCAAAAATGTTTATACAGAACATACCCGCAAAATGTTCAAGGACTGACAATGTATTTAATTAGTTTTTCCTACAATCTGTGCTTGTAACTACTAAAACATCTTTTTTTGTGTTGTGTTTGAGAACTGGTTAGAGGGGAACTCCAGCACAAGGTCAGTTTACAGGAGTAAACCTCATACTGTATGTGAAATAAGTCAAACCTTTTGTGTCTCCAGAGGGAGCTGTATGAAGTCTGTGTGTGAAGTGTTGGTTAAAGACTAAAAGTTTGAAATTGGAAAAAATCTGGGGATGTGGAGTTCTTACCAAACCTCTGCAGTAGGGTTGTAAGAAAATATTGAAAAATATTGTATTGTGATATTTTATTTTGTGATATTATATTGATTCTCAGACACACTGTATTGATTTTTGTGTTTAAACCCCCAAACGCTAGATAGCAGTGTTGTAAACTGAGGGCTTTGATGTTGGATGTTACAGGGACTGTGAGAAATAACAAATGCAGATCAGAATGCAGATCTAGTTGCATAAAAAAGTTCCCTTTTTTAAACTTCCCATTCTATGGATACACAACTCAACTACACATAGAACACAGAGCTAGTGTTTATAGGCATTTTAATGTTATATGTTTAAGTAAACTGACAATAAATACAGACATTTATATACATTCACAAGTGAGTTTCAGTTTTCAGAGACGTTAGCTGCTCTGACAAAAATAGGACCAGCGTGTGTAACGTAGCGGAGAACAGACCCGCGATTGAGACAACAGCAGCCGGAAAGTGTTCAGACCAGATCTGGTAGACATTTGCTTGGAGTGTTTTCTACCAGTAGCAGCACTTACCATAAATTATAAACAGGCATGAAAAGCAATAACTTCAATTTATTTTTGTGCTGTGATGAAGCCTGTGATTGCTTTGGTGACAGCCCGATCAGGAACAGCAAGATCAGGTTGTTGCAATTGGCACTAACAGTGAAACTAAATAAAAAAGGTGCAGCTCACCAAAATAAAGTCCCTTGTGCCTATTTCAGCTGCCGCTCCCTCCTCCCCAACCTTCTCTCATAAAAGAGTGTGTGAAGATGACACTATCTTTGTGTGTGTGTGTGTGTGTGTGTGTGTGTGTGTGTGTGTGTGTGTGTGTGTGTGTGTGTGTGTGTGTGTGTGCGTGCGTGCGTGCGTGCATGCGTGTGTGTGTGTGCTGAGTTCCTGTGCAGCCTGGTCAGCAGCGTGCCGGTAGTCTAAGACTGGTTCAGTGTTAAACCCAGAGGGATACATCATAGGATTCTGTAATTATAAATAGGCCCCATGCAGAATTCCTTCTCTGGAAATATATCTAGTTTACTCTATTATTAGCCGTGTAAATCCTCCTCTCACCCAGTATCCTCATTCGAGGGGTGGGGGCACTGCATCTGTGAGATCGATTGCAGCGCCTCAGCACTGTTTACGAGTGTGTCATCGTATGAAGATAATCCTTCACTCAGAGAGACAAACCGTCCGGTCGTAATTCACGATGCTGTTT